GGCCCCCGTGCAACGCGCGCCATGATCACCCGCTGACAGCGTGCTCTCTTTGTGTACGGAATGCGGTTGATCATCGCTTCGGGTCCAATCAGGTGCTGATCATGCAGACGGGTGTTGACCGCGGCCGGACGCCGGCTGCGTCGTCAGCCTCGGGATACGTGCTGTCAGCGGCATCACGGGGCGTCTAAAGTCACAACATATGCACGCCACAGCTGCTCTGTGCGGGAGGCCGTTCGATAGCGTGCTGCGTTCAGCAGGAGCGAATCTGGGAAACCCGCAACGCGATACATCGCGAGTTTGTTTATTTCATCGACATGAACTTCCTTCAGGTTCTCTTCAACAGCCAGTTATTTTGAACATCGGAATGCTCGGAACGCTTGGACGCCTTAGCACGACGGCTTCGTCAATACAGAGATTTTCAACAATCCTTCTGAAGTATCAACGATTGTATCATGTAAAACGGCACTGTAGTCGACCTACATTTGGGGTCATTATCGTCAATTTGATTCTTGGAACCAAGAGTGTGCATACCGCGGATATTGTATATAAAATTGTTTTTCTGTGTTCAGCTTTGAGCAGCATTGGTCTGAATGAGATACAGGTGCCTTACTAATATTAAGCTTAATAGGTAAGTACAAGTAATTTCAATACCAACAGATATGCGTAGATTAACTATAGAATGACAATGATGTAATACAAAATACATTAATGCATTTCAAAAGCGATACTAATCGCCAGCCATTGCCTGCGCGAGCTCATAAAATTCAAATAGCAAACCAATGCCCCTTTCATTATTTCCCTCCAGCTGCTCACGGACAGGTAATTAGGCTGCCTCCCAATCCACTTTACTGTTTGAACGGCCATCTAGCCAGAGGTTATGCATCAGACGCGGCTGGGCACGTGTCACGTGCTGACCAAACAGCCAACACGACTGCCAATCACCGCCGTGTAATTAGCTCTGAGTCGGCGGGAGTGGTGCCTGTCCTGCAGGTGAGGCGGTGCTGCGCACACAGACGGACGGCCCTCCGCAGGCGGACGGCCTCCGCAGGCGGACGCCCTCCTCAGACGGAGCCCTCCTCAGACGGACAGCCCTCCTCAGACGGAGCCCTCCTCAGACGGACGCCCTCCTCAGACGGGTAGCCCTCCTCAGACGGACACCTCCTCAGACGGGTAGCCCTCCTCAGACGGACAGCCCTCCTCAGACGGGTAGCCCTCCTCAGACGGACGGCCCTCCTCAGACGGACGGCCCTCCTCAGACGGACGGCCCTCCTCAGACGGACGGCCCTCCTCAGACGGACGCCCTCCTCAGACGGACAGCCCTCCTCAGACGGACGCCCTCCTCAGACGGACGGCCCTCCTCAGACGGACGGCCCTCCTCAGACGGACGGCCCTCCTCAGACGGACGGCCCTCCTCAGGCGGACGGCCCCCTCATACGGACGGCCCTCCTCAGACGGACGGCCCTCCTCAGACGGACAGCACTCCTCAGACGGGTAGCCCTCCTCACGGACAGCCCTCCTCAGACGGTACAGCCCTCCTCAGACGGACGGCTCTCCGCAGGCGGACGGCTCTCCGCAGGCGGACAGCCCTCCTCAGGCGGACAGCCCTCCTCAGGCGGACAGCCCTCCTCAGACGGGTAGCCCTCCTCAGACGGACAGCCCTCCTCTGATGGGCACACACACACACACACGGACGCACACACAGATGGACGGGCACACAGACTGACAGCCCTCCTCAAACGGACGGCCCTCCTCATACGGACGGCCATCCTCAGACGGACAGCCCTCCTCAGACGGACAGCCCTCCTCAGACGGACGGCCCTCCTCAGAGGGACGGCCCTCCTCAGACGGACAGCCCTCCTCAGACGGACGGCCCTCCTCAGACGGACAGCCCTCCTCAGACGGACAGCCCTCCTCAGAGGGACGGCCCTCCTCAGACGGACGGCCCTCCAGGCGGACAGCCCTCCTCAGACGGACAGCCCTCCTCAGACGGACGGCCCTCCTCAGACGGGTAGCCCTCCTCAGACGGACAGCCCTCCTCAGACGGACGGCCCTCCTCAGACGGACGGCCCTCCTCAGAGGGACGGTGTTGCGCTCAGACGGCCCTCCCCGCCGGGCATTCCTCTGTCAACCACTGCCAGACGCCGCCGCGCTTATCCACACCTGAACGTGCAGCGGCTGGCGCTGGCGACACCAAGACAAACAACCAAACCTCTCCGGGTAATCGGCAGTTGTTCCATGTCTCCCTGCTGCCGCATGCCTCTTGTTATCTGGGCAAGCAGGGCCGACCGTGTTCCCGCTGACAGGGGGCACGCGGCTGCGCACTGACCTGGGGTCGGTTTTCCTTGCTGTCTCGCGCGTCCCGGCCGGCGGCGGCCGCGGCACGGCCGGCGCTGGACGGGGCGGTGGGCGCCGCTGCCGTGCCGGCCGAGTCTTTAGCCGCAGAAGACGCTGCCTCCCCGCGGAAAACATCTCACGCTTGTTCTGCAGCTGGAACAGAGGAAAGCAGCGTCATAACCTGTTTTTCATCATAATGAGACCGATCACGCAACTGACGCGGCGTGTGTAATTAGCCGCGTCTTAACCGGATACGGTCTTGTTTAATTAGCCAGTGCCATCCATCCTCGAGAGCTCTGTGTGCCAATTAAATTCTCACTAACGCTCAAAGCAACCGCTAATAATCACGTTTGTGCTCGACGTTTCATAACCGAGGAATACTGCGCGTGCTTGTGGTCTCACTCACGCACTACTGCGCGCACCCACGTACGCACGCACGCACTACCGCACGCACACACGCACGTACACACGCACGCACCAACGCACACGTCCACGCGCGCTCGCACGCGCGCACCTGTTACATATCAAGCCAATGCGAGACGCTGGAGCAGCCGCGAACGTCACTCCCGCAGCGCCGCCCGACAGCCGCCGCACATGACTGATACACACAGCGACGTTAGCGCCGACCTCTGACGGGAACGGGATGAAATTCAGATTGCGTCACTAAACTGGAGCACGCCGCTCACGCCGCGACACGTCAGCCCGGCACTTGGCAGAGAGGGGAGCAGACTTCACATCGCGCCGTTTCGGTACGCACCGTTCTCACACGCAGCACTCTCGTGCCGGATCGTGCCACTTTTCTGCCGGCCACTGTGCCAACACTGAGGAATTCTCGCCCGGCGGACGGGCCAGTGCACTGCGTCACGCGCCGCGGCGCGGGCCGATTTCCTCATTTCAACACCGCCTCACTCTGGGCGTCGGGCCGCCATGCCTGTGACGTCACCGACAAGCGTCGCGCCGCAGTTCAGTCAGTCGCCCAACGGGAAAGCCTTACAATCGCCGTCAATACGGCTAGCCGATTACTCGCGTCGCCGCGGTTCTGCAGAGCAGGGACGCACGCAGAAATTCGCAATGGGGGAGGCACAACTCAAGCGCATGCAATGCGCGACCTCGCAGCTTCCTTCACGAGACGCTCATCCCCGTCAGCTGGTGCTCGGCGCTGATTCACTTCCTGCAGCACCCCGACACGCCGCCGAGTGCCGCCACGCGCTCCCTGTGTAGCTCCTCAGATGCCGCCGAGAGCGCCGCCAATCGCTCCCGGCAGCCAGCCTGAAACGCCGCCGAGAGCGCCGCCACGCGTTCCCCGCAGCTGCTTTCAGACGCCGCTGGGAGCGCCGCCACGCGCTCCCAGCAGCACCCCTCAGACGCTACCAAGAGTGCCGCCACGCGCTCCCTACGCACCTGCACGCCGCCCGCCGGCCCGAGACACGTGTAATAGGGAGCCGGTGCGCCGCTGCACGCACGAGGCCCGGGGCCGCCTCCTGCAGACGGCGGGAGAGGGCACCTCCACGCGCAGGAACGCAGAATTGTTTGCCAGGCGGCGAGAGGGCCGGGGCGAACGGACGGCGCTAAGCGAGTTCATACCGGCGGGCTGCAGACGCCCTCAGCTATACACAAGCATGGTAGCGAATGGGAACATAAAGTTCGAAGTCGTACTGATGTGGTGTGTTGCTGGACGCAGACAGAAGTTCACGCACGGGCGTGTATAGAGCGGTGGAGCTATGTTGACGAATGTTTGTATGGTTTCGGGATCCCTCCGCGGCAAGCAGATCCTGCTTCCCGCGGATGGGGTATTGTAACCCAGGACTACAATACTCATAATATTATACAATATTATTGTAGTCCAGGACTAGCATACTCATCCATCAACACACAGCGTCTCCCGAAACCGAAACTCCTCTGGCACGGACATGCATCAGTGTTTACGAGGGACAGAATTGCGATATGATCTGTCATTTTGCCGGCCACTGCTCAGGGATGATCGGAGGGGGACGATGACACCAGGATGTACGTACAGTTACTGCTGACAGTGCACAGCCGACTGTGGAGTACAACTCCCGAACAAATACCATGCGCGCATCTTTGCTGAACACCGGCGGCACCCGCACAGGTGGTGGCGAGGGTGGTAGTCACGGGCAGAGGCGCCCCGGATCTGGGCACAGGACAAGCCATCTCACAGGCATCACACGGACAGGCTATCAGTGTTCTGAAAGTGAACGTGAAGTAGCTTGAAGGAAATCCTTCATTGCAAAAATGCAGATGGTCGCAAGTTTTTCAGTGGCTTTATTACTTTAGAAGCCAAAGCG